AAGCTCTTCCATTTAATACCTATATTTTAGCGGTGACTATGGGAATTATAACTTTGCTTATTGAGTTCGCAACTGTCCTTGTTGATCCTCTCGCTCTAGTCTGTCTTTGACGTCCAGTACCTCTAACTCGTCGATTTCGCCCATCTTGGAACCACGCTAGACAACATCTCATTACAGTAGCTTCGTTTCGATTCACCCGATTAGCGGTTTCTCTAAGAGAAAATTCGACTTCACGTAGCCCGATTATTCGACCCTTCTCGAGCTCGGAAAGTTGAGTGAAATTAGCGCGTCTGCGAAACAAATGAAACCCACACAGAAACATCTCTGAATATTAAGTAAACATGTTTGGATCCTGATATGGCAAAAAAGCCTTCCATGATAGCAAATATGTTAACAAGTTTTTATCAAAATTCAATAAATAATTCTGGGTATCGCATTTTATATGTCTCTTCTCATTGGTCCAATTTTTACTAAAGACGCGGGTCAATCGCTGAATCGGGCCTTAGACAACAGCAAATCTTCTCAAACCCTTCTAACAAAATCTCCGAAGTGAGAGAATCCCAACCACTTACTTGAACATACGCGTCTAAGTAAGCAGACGTCTACCTCAAATCTTTTATTTAATCTGTCTGCCTCCTCAAACAACAAGTAAGAAGTTTATTCAATAATACACATCACGCCGTATACTTCAGAGTAGCAATGCATATTTCATAGCTTGTTGAACAGGCTAATCCCTCAACACTTACTCCTACTCACCCCTTGGGATCAAACGAGACATGGAACTAAACTTAGTCGAAGTAAAATGTTCAACTTTGAAACTTCATTATGATAGAGAAGGTATAGACAGGCTGGATATAATTAAGCAGGTGCAATCCTGAAATGGTCAACTTATATTATTACGTTAAAATGTAGTATTCGTGCATCTTATTTCATCATCCCAAATATCAGCTTGTTGACCTAAGGGTGGATTTCACCAGGATTATCAAATCAACAGTCCGTTATTCTCCACCTATAGGGTAACAGTCTGTCAAATACAGCGAATGAGCTTCAAGTTCCAATAAATAAATTTTAGCAACCAATGGCTGTGAAATGTTGAAAATTAAATACTGTCAAAGTATGAGACGACAGCTTTTCATTGAAACATCACCAGCTTATTGAATATTAAGAAATTACTATGTATGTAATTTAGTCAAAATTTTAATAACTGTTCGATTTTTGAATGAAATTCATTTTTTTTATTTAGTATTGTCGATAGTTTATTCATGTTTATATTATTTTCTTCAATTGATATGCGATTTTACTAATTCAACATCACCTACCATGTTTTTTTTTTTCTATAAACCTCTTGCAAACATACTTGATGACAGACTCTATGAAAAATTTCATAGATATTGCTGATTTCCAAACATTCATTCATTTACTTGTCGTTCATCAGTACCATTATACCATCGTCGATTGATATTCCGACAAAACCATTCAGGATTTTTGATATCCATACATCCACAAAGTTGAATATTTTTCGTTGTTCAGAAACTTAACAAACATCCACACTATATTCACAGCAATTAAGAAATACCCAAATATATGTCGTAGAGCTACCGGTAAACTTAAAACCTGCAAAAAAATAGAATTTGCAATAACTTTCTTGTTTCACTGAGTACACATTCTAGTTTATATTTATATTAGACATTATTTGGATAACAGCTGATTATTACATTTCAAAACTTCCCAACGAGTGACACATATGTGGGATCCGTCAACCCTTGGTCCCAGTGGAGTAAGCTCCGCCAACTGTTGAAATATACTCTACTATGCTTTACAAGACTATACGTGGAATTTTTCCCAAAACCGTTGCACAACACTTGAAAAAATGCAAACGAAAATTTAAAATTATTTCCATGACGCCGCAAAATAGCTCCGTGGATACCTCGGGTTATACATCTTACCAGTAGGGATGTTCGATACGATCCTGTATTTAGAAGTGTAGATACTTCTGCCTCCCATACCCGATATTTTGGATCGATATTTTTATACACGACACTTGGGTGTATCGATACATTTCACGAGTATCGTCATCTTTGGATTCGGACTGTGTCAGAAAGGGTGACTAACTTCAGATTACTTTTCTTCTTTATTTCCTTCCGCTGGATATCGATAATTTTATTCCTATATTTTAGAGTATCAATACCTCATAAAACGATAAGAATCGATACTTTTCGCGGATCTAAACATCCCTAATCTTGACAGCCTGTCGTTCTTGTCAACTGGGCTGCAGGGTGCGGTGTTGCCTTTACTCTCTTACATTTTGCTAAAATCCTATGACGAATAAAAGCATCAAATGAAATATTGACGAATATGAACGGATATGCATAAAATTTAGAATACAAATTCATATTGCAAATTTCAGATTGTCTAGGCACGGACTTGAACCGAAAAAGATCTGAAACCAAAAATAAAGCTAAAAGTTAATTTTATGTAGTTTTCATAGTTTTATGCCCCATATCAATCATACATATGCATACACACTCAGGCAGTCGGGCACATGAGAGGCGTAGGTTTGGGTTGCCTATGATTACGAACGCACATCCTCATCCCTTACTCCGCTTGCCCTGAGTTGATTTTTGTGCGTACAAAAGGTACATACTGGTAGAATACCGTCATTACCTCATCACCGGACAAGCAATAAAGAAACCGAAACCTGTCTGTTTCCAGAATGAATATTTAATTAAAATGAGAGGTGAGTTCATGAGTTCAGGGGTAAAACAGAAAAATATTCACAAGCCTATAAGTAAGAATCGAAAAAGGAGTTTCCAGAATGGTTGCAAAGTATTTTGAAACAGCGAAAACTATGCACATTGTAGAAGTTGTAATATAGGACTATGCCCTCAAAAAACATGTTGTGTGCGCGCCCAATACAATAACAGACGTTTTTCATGACTCAAAGGTCTTTGATCTACCTCTGATCTTGGGACGGCAATTACCTTATACCGAATTCAACGACACTATTTACCAATTCCGTTTTTTTTTTGCCGGTTGGGCAACACTGCAGATGTGCAGATCACTTTAAAAGAAATTGATATCCCAGACGTGTTAGAATAATAGAAATAATAAGAAATTATAACAATGTTTGGAGATATATTTTCATAAATAGGTATTTTTAATTCTGACTTACTATATATCTAGACAATGAATAATAGGTGGATGCGGATACTTTCACAAATATCAATGTTTCTGCTCCCAGAAATGCAGAACGTGCTGTTTGTTTACATTTGATGGGGAATTCTGGATCACAAAGGGGCAGAAATTGTTTTTGATGTAACAAAAGATGATGAACCAGTTGGAATACGTTTTATATCATTTTTTGCAAAATAACAAAAATCGGTGCATTTCTACAGGTACTTATTATTTAGAACACCCTGTGAACAGTCGTCAAAAACAGTGAAATCATCCTATTAAATATAATAGCTGGAAAATCGACCTATTATTTCTCCCATTTTCATTGGTCCATTTAAATAACTGACCGTCTTTTGTGAGATCATAAAAATTGATATTCTGTGAAAGTTCTCCTAATTCTGTAGCACAAAGACATAATATTACATCTATACTGTACCGTTTTTTCACAACTTTATTCAACATTTCAATAGAAATCACTGATATTCAGAGAGCTTTGACAGCTTCCGTCAAATTGCATTTCGATAAGGTCTTTTCCTATTGGTCCAACTGACCGTGAAATATTAATGTTGGTGATATTGGCCCTCAATCAGTCAAAAAATAAGTGGAGGATATCAAAAGTACAATATTTGTATTCCACTATTCTCTTCAACATCTCCAAAAAATGTCTGAAAAGGATCAGTCCTTTCAAAGGCGAGGTTTGAACAATTATCGTTATATGTATCGATTTCCAAATTTAACAAAGCTGTTTCGTCTTTAGCATAGTAGCAACTCTAGCTTTCAATGAAACCCTATGAGTACTTTTCGAGTTATAGAGAGGTCAAGGACCACTGTGAATCCGAATTTGTTCGGGATTACAATACTTCATCGCCAAGTTGCGAGGAAACTCAAAAATAAAATAAAAAATGAGTGGTTGTCAAATATAACTTAAATGAATCTAGATCAGGGGTCGGCAACCTTTTGAGACGGAAGAGCCAAAAGTTACAATTTACAAAAACCAGCAATTGCATTTGAAACGAACCAGCATTAATTCCAAATGGCTCAATGTTGATCTCATTTACATTTGTGTTGACGACCCCTGATCTATACATTAATATTGGAAAGAACGGCAACTTGACCTGTGGCACTTTAGACCACAAGTAATTTTAGGTAAACAAGGACCATTAGACTAACAAAGTCAGTAACATCTAAAGCTATTTTGATTAAACACCAACATTGGTAGCAGTACAGTGGCTGTCTAATCATTCAAGGTCGAAAAACCGAGCCGTAAGACGGACAGACAGTTGGGGAAGCAGTAAAGGGATTACACAACAATTTATCACAAGAAGTTTTTCGCAGATCAGTTAACTTAACCTCATTTATACTCTTCCTCTAAGACTGTTCTGGCACAAAAAAAATAAAAGAATCTCTTACGAGATATATACGACTAAGGTCTTTTTACGGTGTTTGGCATGTCACGGTGAAATTACAAGAACTACGTCCATAAATTTATGTCTCTCACACATACATATGCAATGGGACTCTATGGATAGACGTGTGTTTGTCTAAACTCTCAGACATGTGTTTTCTAGTTTGCCTTGAAAATTATTCCGTCAACCCACGAGTCTTTCAGATTTATGCTTGTCACTGTCAGTATGACCACTTGCTTGTCATGCGTGTGCGATCTTAGTTTACCTATGTCAGTCTTTGACAAAGAATGTACAGGTTGTGTTACGGAAGATTACTGAGGCTAACGAATGGCAACGCTGTCTCGTTCTCAGGTGAAGCGCCCAGAATCGACCACGGGCGCCGACCGAGCTGCAGCAGCGTGCTCGATATCGCGGCATTTTCGCTTTTCTCTCACAAAGTAATCATTGAATACACAACCTGTACAGCAATGCCTGCCTTTGCGCAGTGTATAATTTTTCCTAGGTAAGTTAAGTTTCACATATAGTACAGTTAGTGAACCTGTTTACTTGTTTCGTCACTCCCACGTTTATTTTTTTATTGCTTTGACTAAAAATAAATACAACTAAAAATAAATATGTAAATGTGAAATGATTGCTTTATTTTGTGGAAAAATGGTCGTAGGAGATACGTTTGTGGTTCAGACTAAGGCAAAATTTAGCTCCACAAAATGCAAAATGATCAACCAGGTTTTATTCTTTGCTGAGAGCCTTGTTGCATTAGTAAAAGCTCAATTGTATAATAATATTCAGTAATATCTCATAGTGTTTGTAAAATTGTAGAATCTAACATATCTTATTGAGTTTTTCATAAGGCATATCACGCAAAATGTCCCGACTGATTAGTACAGTAGCCAAAAAATGTATCGATCTCCTATTTGGCTAAATTCACAATAAGAGGATATTCACTGTTATTTTGTAAAATTCTGTAGGAACGCTTGTTTAAGTTTTTAGAACCAAATTTGTCTCTACTGATTCTGACAAAAATGTTGAAAACAGTCAGAATACACAACCAAAACCAAAATTTTCTGTAATAAATCAGGAATTAAAATGTTCTTAGCTAGGACGGTGCGTAGAAATATCGCTCCTAGCTTAAAGCCAAACTTGACAAAGTTAAGTTTATGAGGTACAAGGTCAAAAATTGCGTCAATTGGATTGGCTCTATATTTCCCACGCCTTCAAAACAACATGTTTTCCATGTAGCGCAATGCCGTCAAAATCACGTAGGTTTTGTGGGAACTATTAGTGCAACCTATAGATTTTTATAAAACAAAATTTCTTCATGCTGCAGCAGTGAGCGTGTCTGTATATAGTAGCCCCATTTCTTCGGTGCTCTGGTGTAAAACTGTTTATCAAAAATGTTTGTTACCTGAGTATAATATCTCTTGACACGTACCTATATACTGTATACTCTATACGATATAATATTACCCCACGAAATCGAATAACCTCATAAAAATATACTCCAAGTATCAGGCATCGGGCTTGGAGGGGAGACAGGGGAACATATAATCCGCCTTCAGTACACCCGCTCTAGTCATTTGGTTGTTCGTTTTTTTTTTTGCTTCAGACTCGGGCACAGTGCAACAAATGCTATCGATAAACTTCAGCAGGACTACGTAGATAGTGTTTTGTTGAGAGCCCAGCACCGTTTATCATATCAAGAACAACTCATCGTGTTGCATGTCAATAAATTAGTTTTTGGCACGTAAAAACCTTCTTGTGGCTCCTCAGCCACCTTATTCGCCTGACTTGTGTCCTTGTGACTTGTTTCTCTTCCCGAAGTTAAAAAATCACCTCAAGGGAACTCATTTTGGGACAGTCGAAAATATTCAAATGGCTGTAACCGACCAGCTGAAGGTTTTTCCAGAGTCGTAGCTCCAGCACTGCTATGAGGAGTGCAAGAATCGTCTCCAACGCTGCGTAGCTTCTATGTTGTGCGAAATATGTCTAATAGATGCGTAACATTGCAGGGGTTGGAAGTGTTATTAGTGTACTAACATCAAAAATTGGGATTGCCAGTAGGCGTGGGAAGTAAAATCTTGCCGCACGTAGGGCTGTAGGGCAAATCGGCAGTTAGTCGGAAACAATAAAAGGTACAATGGCGGACGGGCAGCAACGGGCCGGCCCTCCCAGGCAGGCAAGCTCGAACTCAAACAACAACAAAACCGCTGTTGTGGCCTGCATTATACACTGCAAATATTACCCGCGGGGTTTACATATACATGATATTATGCCTGCAAAGTGTAGTAGGTATATCAAACAAAAACTCCATTTCAGTTTGTATGCGTAGATGAAAAAAAAATGGCATAATATCAACAACTTTGTGTGTTTACAATGTAACGCCAGGTTGTTATGATAATAGTCCAGGAAGTATAGTCGCATCTGCTGAGGCAGATATTCTAATTTTTTTTGCAAAAAGAACTCAATTTAACAAACCTGCATGTTGCCAGCCCCAGAATTGCAAATCGAAGTTTATAAATGTTTTTCAAACACGCTCATGAGATCTCAAAGCATTTAAGGGAGAATTTTTATCGTAAACCTTTCCCATTTTTTGGGGAAGAACGTACAGGAACGCGTATGTAAGTTAGGTTTTGAGATAACCAAATTTTGATATTCTACGCAGAAATTGAAGAAAATCGGATTTTCCGATATTTGGCATTTTTTTTTAAACATTGACAGTGGATCTAAAAGGACGCACGAAAATACTTATCTACAGTACATTTTGGTTATCGATTGAAGATTAGAATAAAATCAATTTTTTGTCCCGAATCTTATGTGTCACCAACCTAAAAGACTACGACATCGGTAATTTTTGCAAATTATTCTAAGCAAAATTGGGACTCTACTAAATTATTTTCTAAAATAGTTGCCTTGATCTAAAAATTTGACTGAGTTGAATACGCCCAATATACCTTCAGTTTGATTGATCCAGATCTTGATACTCTTGGGAGCAATTTACATATGTACTTTCGCCTATACCCTTTGTATTGTATTGGTAACGTTCCGTACTGTTTATAACTTAGTATACGAATGAGTGGGTGAAGGTTTGCTTATGACTATTCCAAAGAATGTAACTCAAAAAAAGCACCCAACTGCATTAAATGAAAATAATAAAGGGTTAAATCTAGCTGTCGGGATGAATCTAAGGACGTCCATAATGTCAAAATACATCCACCAATAGAATTTTCAATGTCGCAATCAATTCGCTCTTTTGTGATTTTTATACATCCAAGAAGCTATTTTATCTCATATCTCGGATAGGTGCCTATGCTTTCGTTCGTTGTCCCAGAGACCAAGCCTAGATTATGCTGATGAGCTCAAAAAAGCATGAAACACGTTGTTCAATGGCGAGTAGACCACTTCTACTATACCGCCAAAATCGGCGGTCACAGCAGTCACAATGCCAACAAACGCGAACTGAGATATTTACAGTTCCAACCGATATTTGCTATACACTCGCTGATATGAGATGGCGCTTTGTGTGTTATATTTCGATAGAATTACTCTTATTTGCATACATAGTATGAAATATAGAAATTTTCAACGAATTCGAATAGACTAGAGGGAGCCAAGCCTTCATGTTTATCGAAATTGCGTAGTTTAAGTGCATACTTTTGAGTCATTTGAGTACCAATGCCTACCAAAGTGACAACGTTATTTCAACCCAATGATAATACCTACCCGTGGAAAGATATATCTCCATTAGGCTGCTGCAGGTGCTTGTAAATTATGCAGGAAGATCATGTCCTGAAGTCCACTTGTAGTATGCACTTTCATCCTGACTACAGACTGAGATTTTGGTGACAAGCAAAGCTAAGCGTTGCTGTTTCTACCTAGACTGGATTCCATGGAAATATCCGAACTCATTGAGATACTGCAAAAGGTCTACACTATATGATCTTTCCGTTCCGTTTAAATAATATTTATCATAATGGTCTTTAAAGGAGACATTATAATAGCATTAACGTCTTTCCTTGTTTATTTCTAGTGGAAAATATTTAAGACCGCCTTCGGACAAATTTTCTCTTGCAACATTAAACTTGCGCACAATTCTACTGGTGCAAATCGTCTGGAAGGTTGATAATAATTTTATTTCGCTTTTCTTTCTCAACAAATACATCGTACTGGGTGACTGAAATTCAAATGTCAACACTGGGATATTCAAAATTAGACATAATGTTGATTGAACGGTACAAACCTGCGTATACCTTGAATAAGTTTTAAGTCCACCAAGGATATTAAGAAAGAAGTGACTTTTCTGATTCTGGAGATCTTGAATATAACCTATAAAAGACCTGAATGCAGTACTTTAGCTTTGAAAGATAAACAGGGTCTTGAAAAAGAAAATATGTATATCAATAATCTACAAATTCAGCAAGTTTAGATGCTGTCCTGAAAGAGTAAGGAAAAATAAAAATGACTGTTCCGCCTACGAGTAAGAGTGGTAGACTGGTAGCTATAAAAAGTTCAGAAAATTTGAAAATACACAAAACGCAGAATACATAGTAAAACCCAACTTTGCTACACTACAATACTGGTAGTGATAATGCGATTTAACAAATAAACATTGATCGCTTCAAGCACTTACAATAAGGAGGCAATTCTTCTCAGAGGTATTGTTGACAGACTTTTCGAACATTGTGGCTTCAAGTTATATCGACTGAGGGAAATGTATTTATTTATGGAAGGTATTAGTAGTAAATCTTTATAATGTCGTAAAAGTTGTGTACAAAGTATACGCCTGCCTGTAGATCGCTGGTATGTGCCGGTTTATAAAACATTTCAGCGTGATGGTTATAAAAGCCCAGTTATTAAGCTTTATTGGGTCACAAAATGAGAAGCAACCGCGAAGCCTGCCACTTGCAATGCAATATATTATGATAATGCTAGAACTAGGGAGAAGCTAGCTATTTATGAATCAAGAGGTGACTTTATACACAAAGAATCTTGCATTGCCTAAATAGTATTAGTTTAGTTTCCGTTTCTGTGACCATAACCAGCAATATACGACATTGTTTCTTATTTTTTAGCAATCATCAGTACCGTATAAGTCTACTCATTTGGAGACAACATACTCTTGATTATGGACGCTAAGACGGAAAACAAACATATCGTGCTCAGCCTGTGTTTAATTTATGCAACTTTTGCATATTACATCAGTAGTGGCAGCATGGTGAGTATTTAGTACCACCCTGAGAGACGCTAGAACACCTGCGTGGTGAATAGCGTTGCTAGATATCCCGATTTGCGCAGGACGTACCGGACTTTCAATTGACCCGATATTATTTTAAAGACAACCAAGACTTTGCAAATATTCAAAGGTTATTCCCACTTATGGCTTCGGTACCTGCATCAAATGCGGCAACGGAAATGGTATTTTCCAATACAAACCTGGTCTGAGAGGCAAAACCATTTTGCAACTGGAACATGTAAAAGCAAAAACCCTAATTGAAAACAGTAAAT